ATGTTGTGTGAATGCCTAAAACTTCTCCTCGGTTGTCAGCTACAGTTCCTTCCTTGCTGGAGAGTGAGAGAGAGGTAATGCCATTTTTCCAGGCCTCTCCAGGCAGACACATCCCTCCCTAGGGGCATGGGAAGAAGCATCAGATTCCCACTGCAGAGCTGCAGACATTCCTGTTGCATTTGTGCAAAGCCATTGGCAGCTGCCACGTGGTGGATTTCCCAACAGGAATGGTTGTGTGGGAGGATGGCAAGGAAGGAGCAGCCTGTGTTTGCCCTTTTTCTCCAAGTGTTTGCATCCTCAGACTGGGTGGGCAGTGGGCAGGACAGGGGCTCAGGCTGACACCAGGTGCAAGTTCTGCTGCTGCACAGGGGAATGGGCAAAGCATTTCCCATCAGCAGTCTGGAGCAGGGACAGTGGGGCTGATGTGTCAGTGGTGTCTTGGACCTTCATGGCTTTCCTGGGGCTCTAGGAGGACCAAATTCCAGCTCACTGACTTGGGAATGCACAATCTGAGACCTCTTTCCACCTTCTCAGGATCCACAGGCAGCGCATGGAAGTCTTGAGCTGATCAGCTAAGCACTGCCCGGAGCAGGTAAATGCCATGTGATGTTGGAAAACCAATGAATTTGTTCAATTAGTTCAGTTTTAGGGGGCAAAATCTCAAGTTTGAAAATATTTCTGCCGAAAAGTGAAGAAATTCTGTACTGAAATGCCAGTGTGATGCATCTTGGCACTTGTCATTCACCTGCTCCTCACTGTCTCTGACAACTGAGTTACCTGTCCTAACTCTCTTTCCATGCTAACAACAGTGGGTTTTTATTTTGTATTTCCCTAAAGGAGAAAAACAGAACCAAAACACTTTTTCATGATGTGAATGTCCTGACCTCTGCACTCATGGCTGGCACTGGTACAACATCCACAACCTTGCAATGGGCCTTCCTGCTGCTGCTCAAGCACCCCAAGGTTCAAAGCAAGACACCTTTATGATTTTTCTTTGCTTACACAGTGTACTGAGGTACCCTGCAGTGCCTTACAGTGATGCTCACCTATAAAAGCTTCACAGCCTCTCATGTGTGCCAGAGCATCCAAAGTCTGAGCATCTGGAACCTGTCCACCTCCACCCAAGTGTTGGATGCTGTCATTTAGGACCAAATGAGGTCCTGAACCCTGAGGGCTTGTTCTCTATCTGCTCCCAGGGGCTGCAGACCTCCCATCCTGGGGTAGTCCAACCAACAGGCAGCAGGAACTGGGATTTACAGGTGTTTTCCCATTGAGGGAAATTCACTCTGTGTCCTTCCTTTGCCCTGCAGAGATTGAGTGAGTGCTTGGCCCTGGCTGCTTCCCTGCTTTTGAGGACTGGAAAAACATGCCATTTACCAATGGAGTGATCCATGAGGTGCAGAGATTTGTCCCCATCCTGCCACATGGTCCTTGGTTCACCTCAGCTGGGACTCACTTTAAAGGCTGCTTCATCCCTAAAGCACTTGCTGCTCTCCAGATGAAGGGAGGTGCTGCAGGCCAGTGACCCATGGGGTGAAATATCACAAGGAGTGGGTGATCTTCAAGCACAGAGTGTTTGGTGGGGACGAGACAGTTCCCTAATCCCCTGTCTGCTCCAAGTCCAGACTGATGGCACTGTGACTTTAGGGTTACACACCCAACTTCCCGTTTCTCATAGCTCAGTCTTCGTAACCTGGAGCCTGTTCCTTATTCTGTTCAGTCTCCTGGAATCTGTTCCTTATTCTCTTCACTTTCCTGGAATCTGTTCCTTATTCTGATCACTCTCCATCGCTGTTCATGCCTTGCAGAGCAGTGCTCCCTCTGGGCTACCAGGACATTGCCTCATTGCCTTGCTTGAGGCAAGCAGAGGGAACCTGGCCCATGTCTTTCCTCTGCTTCCTAACTCCAGAACAGCCAACAACCATTGTGGTTCAATCCCATATTAGTCAGTAATTCCAGAGAACCAGTGTACAAGCTCAGGAATTAGTTCTGCAGAGGTAGAAGTTGGCTTCCAGACACAGCCCAAAGGGAGGAACACTGAATGGGCAAGCCAGAAGCTTGCGACATCTTCACATGCTACAGCAGAGTGTGGTTGTGCTGCAGGGAACAGCAGTGATCCCTCTGCTCTGATTTCTCTGTGCTGCTGGATAAAACGGAATGGGAGACACCAGGCAGATCCATCCCCAACCATTCCCTGCATACCACTTGATTTTTCCAGGTTAATGGGAAACAAATGGCTTTGCTCCCAGCCTCGCAGCAGGTGAATGCAGTTGGACTGGGGGTTATAAAGCCTTAAGTCTTAGCTCTGCCCTTCTTCCCCCCCCGAGTTTGTCCTGGCAGGGCGTTTTATCCCAGTAAGGACCGCAGGGCTGGGCTGGCTGTGACTCCAAGGGATGGTGTGCCATCTTGTGGCAAAAATAAAGTAGAAATTGTCTTTGCATAGTGCTGATTGCTCTGGCCAGCGCAGAGGGGCTGCAGGGGTTTGCTGCAGTACTGAGCACTGCTCCTCGGAGGGCAGGAATCCTTGGTCCCATCACACAGCACAGGGGATGGGACATGCTGCATGAGCCACACAGGGAGTTGGGCATCGTGGGATCACAGGATGTTAAGGGCTTGGAATGGAGCTCAGAGATCATCCAGCCCCAACCCCCTGCCCTGGGCAGGGACACCTCCCACCAGAGCAGGTTGCTCAAGGCTTTAGCCAACCTGGCTGTGAACACTGCCAGGGTTGGGGCAGCCACAGCCTCCCTGGGCAACCTGGGACAGTGTCTCACCACCCTCACAGGGAAAACTTCTGCCTAATATCTCATCTAAATTTCCCTCTTTCAATTTATCCCCATTACTTCTTGTCCTGTCACTGCAGCTCCTAACACAGATCCCTCTGCAGCTTCCCTGGAGTCCCTTCAGCTCCTGGCAGGTTGCTCTGAGGTCTCCACACAACTTTCTCTTCTCCAGGCTGGACAGCCCCAACTCCCTCAGCCTGTCTTCACAGGGAGATGCTCCAATCCTCTTAGCAACTTCGTGGCCTCCTCTGGACTTGCTCCAACAGTTCCATGTCCTCACATTGAGGGCACCAGAACTGCTCAGATCTTTAAAAATCAAGGGACCTATCCTGCCCCAAGGTGTTTGCCTTTGATTCAGGTGAGTGTTGCAAGGTACAAACATGTTTTACAGCTAGAGGGAAGACTCTCAGGGCTACTGAGGGATGTGGAAATAGTATTTCCACCCCTGAGAGCCACTGTTTTCTGCTAGATAAACAGGTGGCTGAGTCATAATCAATGTCCTGCCATTACTTGGCTGAGCAAATAAGGAGAGGCAGGCACTTTATTTTGTGGAGATATATTGAGCTGTGTGATTAAGTGTGCTGAGGAGGGATCACAGTACCAGCAGGTGATGCTTTTGGAGGGCAAGGGGTGAGAAGCTCAGAGTCCAAGGGACTAAGCAGAGGGCCAGCAACATCAGTGAAGCTGTGTTGGCAACCTTTGATTCAGCCTCTGCAAGCAAGAGTTGAAGACATAAATGTGAAAAACTCGGGTTATCCCCAGGGCTGACTCATAGGCCATAGCTGAGCACAAAGGGAGAGGAATTTGCCCTGCAGAAAGCACTCTGCAGGTATGGAGGTCTCCTGTTGAGCTGGTTTTGACTAGGATGAGAGTATGCAGAACCTCTCACCCATGAGATACATCTCACAGTATAATATTCATTGTCACTCCTGGGCTTAGGATCAACCTTTCATGGCATTAGCATTTCTGTGTACTGCAAAGCTAGGTGCCAGGCCCAGGAATTGTAATGATGACATGGGATTAAAACTTTATTGGGTTCCCATGAAGGAGGAAACAAACAATATGATAAAGCACATGATAAAAAAATGCATATGGAAAAGTGAGAAGCCACAGGCAGATAAATGGATGAAAAATATCCCTATAGGTAGGGACTACAGCCAGAGAGAGCGACAGAGGAAAGGAAGTCAGCCAAAACCAGGTCTTCTTTTAATCCCTGATCCCAGTTCTCTGTGTATGTGTCTGTTCAATACAAGCACTGTGAAATCACACACCATGTGCAGGGAAATTGCATGGCTGGTTCCAAAGGCCAGGACATCCCAAACACCAGAATACTGCTGCTGATGCCTCTCAGCATGAACCAGGAGGTCTGAAGAGAGGAACAGTCTTTGCTCCTATTTAACAAGGTCAGGAAAGACAGAGGTGTGTAAAACTAGCAGTGGCTGTAGTTTATTTTTCTGTATCATTAGCCTTTTATGATCAGATGTTGGTGCAAGTATCATGTGGTTTTATGATTTAAACTGCAAACTTAGAGCTCCTGTTTCGTTCAGACTGTGAAGCAGTGTTGAGCTTGGTGGTGGCAGCACTTGCTTATCTAAACAGGTTTGCAGACTCTGTGGCATCTTCCAGGACACTGTTACAAGGCTGAAATAAATTTGCCCTCAAATCACATGAATCCATCTGTTCCTTCACTCTTGGTGTTTGACTTGGCTGCCTGGCCTGGTGGGATTTTGCTGGAAGCTGTGGATAATCTTGGAAAAGTTCAGGTGGTACATATGGACGTTTCAAGTGTGTGACCCAAGGTGTATTTCTCTGGCTTCCAGCAAACCATGGTGTGTCTTTGCTTGGGAATTCAGGCAGATCTTTGTGGCACGATGAACCATGGAAGGCTGTGTCACACCTACTCCTCATGGGCTGCATCTCCATCACCAGACCAGCCCCGTGGTCCCTTCATGGGCTCCTTGCACTGTCTGTCTTGAGAAGTGGTGTGTGATTGTCAGCACCATTGTGGTTTGTAGTTGATCACATGCACCTCCCCACAGCATGGGAGCAAAGAGCAGCCTGTGGGGCAGCTGGAGCAGTGGAGAGGGAGTGGATGGAGACAGTGGGAAGGGGATGTGAATGAGGGTGATGTGGTTAGGATGGGGGATTGGTGAAGTTGAGCACAGTTGGGTCTAAGCAGGTTCCCACTTGCCTTGGAGCTCCTCAGCGAGGCTGTGCTTATTCACGCAGCACAGCACAGGTCGCCTGAGGCTGAGGCCTTAGTGTGAAAGTTGTTTGGGGGACAGTAAGGTCCAAGTCAGACTCTGAAACTCCTGGTTGGGGTCGGAAAGTAAATGTTTGAAGCAACCCTACAAAGAAGACAAACAGCTCCATCTTGGCCAGGCTTTCTCCAATGCAGTTCCTTCGCCCTGTGGAGGAAAGCAGATTGTTCACCTGTTGGAAAGATCAAGCTGGAATGTTTGCCATGGGCATGTTAGCATCTAAGAGGTTGCATTGGGAGCAGGAGTGAAACCTTGAAATGCACTGAGCCATTTTGGACTAGAGGAGCCCGTGTTGCTGGCACAGTGTGCCTGCCTGGTCTCTTGTCACACAGCCACCTGCAGCAGCACACACCACAGGGTATAACACATTTAGGGTCTACCCTCTCCTCTCCTTGCATCTTCCAACACTCTCTGCATCTTTAGCCCTTTCCCCTTGAAAAGCAGCCTGGTAGATAAATGCCACCTCCTCCCAACACGAAGTTTGAACTTCACTTTTCCTGTGGAATTTATCCTAACATCCCACTTTTGGAATCGAGTGTGTTCCTTCTTTCCTACCCCTCTTTGTGCTGGATTCAATGGTGGGAGAGAGCCATCTGCCTGTGTGCAGGATAATTGGCTCTATTCAGTTTCCTGGTTGATTATTGACCAAGTTAAGAGCAGTACTTAGCCATGAAGACCTCATTAGTGTATATTGTAATGAAATGCCATAGCCTCAGTTCTGTGCAGATCAGCCCTTTAGTTACCTGTGGAGAAGGGCAGGAAAGCTCCTTTCTTTACAAAATTCCCTTCAGCATCAAGAAAGTGGTTAGGGTTGAACTGATGTGGGGTCTCCCATTGTGTCTTATCCAGCAGCACTGAGGTAAGTGATGGGATTACAATTATACCCTGGAAGAAAAGTACATGAAGGCACAAAAGTTAGCAAAGTGGTCTGGTTTGGTTCATTTTGTCACACAGACTTTGGTGTCCCAGGAGATTTGCTCCACCTGGTCGTAGGTGGAGACCCTGAAGATTTTATCCCATCAGCCAGTAGAGAGAGATCAGTAAGATTTTCCCACTGGTGCCAAGGATTGAAGCCAAACCCTACATGGTGCTGTGAAAACCTCAAGCAGAGGGTAGGATCCTGTAAATTCTCTGGCAGGTACTTCAGTGTGCAGATGGCAGCAAGGAGGTGAACCAGGGTCACTCATGGAGTAAGTCCTGAGCATGAGAGGGACTGAATTGTCCTATGACACCAGTCTCTCTGAACTCAATATAGAAACTCTTCTGGGGATGATTTTGGACTCTGTCCTATAATTCCCTCTAAAGAGACCATTCTAGTGGTGCTGGCAGACCTGAGGAGGGTCTTGATGGAGCAGTCACCTACCTTGGGAAGGAAGTAGCCCCTGAAGTGGGTGTCAACAGCAGTGCAGCGGGGAACATGGGGCAGGAGGGTGATAAACCTCTGCACTTCATGAGAAACTCTTCTGGGGATGATTTTGGACTCTGTCCTATAATTCCCTCTAAAGAGACCATTCTAGTGGTGCTGGCAGACCTGAGGAGGGTCTTGATGGAGCAGTCACCTACCTTGGGAAGGAAGTAGCCCCTGAAGTGGGTGTCAACAGCAGTGCAGCGGGGAACATGGGGCAGGAGGGTGATAAACCTCTGCACTTCATGCAGCACCGCGTTACGGCATGTTTTTTTTTTTTCGTATGTGGCCCAGCTCCCAGCTTTGACAGTCCTCCCAATCTCCTCCTGCACCTTTTCTGGAAGGAACAAACAAAGGGATGTGCCCTAGCAAAGAAATCAACTCCCTCCCCGGATTTGGCTTTTGGAAGAACATCTGTTTTCAGGGTCTGGAAGGAGAGGATTCTTTAAACACCAGCATGGGTTTTCCTGCTCTACTTCTAGTTCAGACGTGTATTGGTTGTTTCCCCAGCATCATACTCTGATCTCCACTCATCCTCTCTCCTAGCAAGGCAAATGGGCTATTTTGTTGGGACTTTGATCATCATCTAATTATATCAGGAGTTCATAACAATAAAGAGATGGGATTCAGCTCTTAAGGCAAAAGAGCTGCTCTGGATCTGAGGCCTCTCCCCTCCACATATCAGCCTTGCCACGGATGGAGTGTGGGTAAAAGGAACTCACTTTGAATCTCTGGATATTTCATCATAAGCAGGATGGACCACTGCAGCGTGGTGGCTATGGTTTCTGTCCCTGCCATGACCAGGTCCAGTATGGATGCCATTAAGTTGTCATCATGGAAGAGGCTGTCCTTCTTGTTTTTCTCCTTGAAAAACATAAGAGGTAAGAAAGGTCTTAAAACCATCAGTATTCAGCAAGCTCAGGAAATACTGCATAGCCCATGACGCTGCTGACTATGATCTTGTGTTTGTGAATTGGGTGATAAGATGGACCTGATCTTAAGTGCACAGCATTCCCCAGAGATGGGAGCACCACAGATGGAAGATTTGGAACAGAGTTTTGGTTCAAGATCCATCTCCACCCTGAAGCAGGCTGAAGCCCAGGGTCAGGTGCTTGCTCACAGACTCAGCCTCACAGATTTGGAAAGAGCCATCTCTGCCCTCTACAGAAGGAGATTCAGCTAATCCTACCTCCAAGGGACTCCTCCTGCCCAAGGGCAGGTTTGAATCCCCAACAACCCTCAAAATCACCTTTTAGGCCTTTTCTGCCTGTTCTTTAGAATTGTGCTAACTCTTCCTCCACATAGCTGGGTAGAATACCGAGTGCCTAAGGTCGGCCTGGATCCAGTTGGAAAGAATTAAAAACTCAGAGCCCAAATATTTTGTGTTGAACGAAATCAACAGCTGTGTGAAACTGCCGAGTCTCTACTAAGTAAGATGCAGGGCATGGTTAGGACTTGTACTGGTGATTTATCATTCAAGTACTTTAAGTGGATCATTCATCTTGGAGCAACAGTATCAATGATTAATTGATCTGTTGTCATAAAAAGAAAGGCAGAGTCAGCTTTCATGTGAATTCATGCATTTTCTACTCGGAGTCGATCTCACATTATGAGTGCTGCTATTTCAGTAGTGGACTGAGAGTGTAGCTTTTGTATCTTGGTTTTGGTAGAAAAATCCCTGCAGTAAATTATACCAACTGTAAGAGACTGGCTAATTTGAATAGCACCAGAATAACAGAATGGATTTCAACACGGCATGACTGAAATCAGGACTCAGCAACTGTTTTAGCTGCAAAATCCAAAGGAGACATTGCAAACAGTCAACAGAGCTAAGCAGTCAAATACCTCTTGTTGCTTGAACATCAATGCGTCGATGTAGCTCCTCACACTGTTCTCATTGATATCCTCCCTGCTTGCCTTCATATATTGCCTTAAAATGACTCTCACATCTTCTATCTTCTCAAGCATAATCTTGTGGGTTTTGAAGAGAAATCCAAGGAATGGGTAGAAATTGAAGTACTAATGAGGAATTAAAAAAGAGAAGCATTAGGCCTGCAGGAATACCATCATGCTGATACAGCTTCTTCCTCAGGCACAACATATCAGTTGAGTTTTGTCTGTAGTAGCAATATCTCAGCATCCCAGGGACTTCCCAGGCAGATTTTCATAAGGGAGAGCTTTGCAACCTTTGAGTCTTTACTTAGTACAACCTAATTTTGAGTGGGATCCGCTCCTCTACTGGTAGAAATCTGGTCAGCCTCCCAGCAGAGCTGGGGCTGCAGTGTGCCAGGCCACCAGCCAGTCTCTGTATGAGACTAGTTGGTTTTTTCCAACATCAGTTGTGATGGATTGGCTAGGATAGTTTAAACATAAGCAACATTTTCCTTGCACTCTCCAGGGAAGCATTTTTAATGCAGTCTGTGAAATGTCATTCACCTAGTCATCAACACTGAATGTGTCTTTATAAAAAAAATGCAGCAAAGAAAGCCTAGATGGTGCAATTATATTGAAAAACAAACAACCAGGAATCTCTGGAGCTAAAGTAACCATATTTCAGGTCTTATTTTAGTTCCATGTGGATGTGCAGGACAAGTCAAAACAAAAGTAGGAAAGGGGAATCTAGCAGTACATTTGTGGTGACTAAGGCACATGCAGAAGTGTCACATTTTAGGTGTAATGGTTGTTTCTGAACTTCTGAAAACTGCTGAAGTAAATCCTATGGTTTGTGTGGCTCACAGATGGGATGTGTAAAAAAACATCTGTTAATCTGTGGGACAGGTTACTCACATTTAAATATGGAGATCCCAGAAGAATCATAACTTCATCTATAAGTCTTAAGAGAGTGAGAAATGTTGGGTCCTTATAGTCAAACCTGTCCCCAAACAGCAAGACGAAGGTGATGTTGATGGGAGCACAGTTGAAGGATGGCAGGCTGAAAGGTTCCCCTGCAACAGGAGGAGGATGGGAGTGCTGTGAGATGTTGAGCAGCACTGACACACACACAAGGCTGTACAGCCCTGTGATGGTCTCCAGCTCACCTTTGAAGGATTTGATCATCTCAATGAGGAAGTGAAGCTCCTCAAAAATTCTCCCCTCAAGCATCTGCTTCCCCATGCCGAGGTTGCGCATGCTGGACACAGTGAATCTCCGAGTTGTTCTCCACAGCTCCCCAATGGAGAAGAACAGACCTGGGGAGGCCATGAGACATGGTGCTGAGCTCAGGCATGGAGGAGCCCCACCACACCAAACACAACAGGGGACTGGTTGAGGAGGGATCTCCACAAGGGTTTCTGCTGCCCAGTTTCCCATGGGTTTAGAGAGTAAGGGTCTCCCCTTTCTGTGTGCCCCATCTCTGTGTCCTCTCAACTCCATTCTCCCAGTCTCACTGAGCCTGTGGTTTGTGAAAAACAAGTTCCTTCCCAACCCAGTTATCCCATCCCTCTCCTGAGTGCAAAATAAACAGGTGTGGCTTTCAGACAAGTATGGGTTGGCTGTAGAGCTTGGGAGAGATGCTGGTCTAAGTCAGTCATTCAAACTCAATTTGGTTCAAGTCTAAGGCCTCAAGCAACAACCTTGTTCTCTGAAGCTTCTCCATCCTAGTCTATTCATAAAGGTATTTTATCTGTGAGGGATGGGATAATTCAGCCTTCTCAACCCTGATCAGTGCTGAACTGCTTTATTGAGATTCCCAGCAATGCTGTATTTTCAGCAGCGGCAAAAATACTGACATTTTTGTGGAAGTTTCTGAGCTCATGCCTTGATGATCACTAACACCTCCAAGCTGGGATGGGTATTTCATCCCATCAGACTGCTGGAAAGAAAAAAATTGGTCAGTAATCCAAAGACTATCTCAGGTTGTGTCAACTGAGAAGCTGGATGCCAGCACTTCACATCTTCTTGGCTGAGTTTTCTATATGTGTTTGCTTTTTCTGTTTTAAAGCAGTGTAGTTTTAATTTGGAGAGCAAAACATTTTGCTCTAAAAATGTCAAAGCAAATTTCTAAGCTTCAGTTTTTAATTTTTCTTTAGTTCATGCCATTTTATCTGGATCATTCATTTGCTGAGAACAGTTTCACAGTCAACAAATTGGCATTTTCTGAAGAGAAAAAAAATATTTCATGGGAAAATTTGTGACCGTCGTTACTTAACAGCCCCTGAGACCTTCCATCCTTTGGTCACCTCTAAGTGCTTCCGACTTGGGCTGAGAAGTTAAGTGTGAAAGGACTTATGATGCAATACTGACAGTCTCCCACAGGGATATTTTACATGCAAATTAGTTCTAAAGAATACTTTTCTCCCCATCGATTCCTTTTATTTATGTAGCGATAAATTCATTTATTGATATTATAGCTGGGTAATTTGTCTCTAATTCTTATCCCAACTTCAGCCTGTGACCAGCATATAAAGCTGGATGCTCAAAGCTAAAGCAGAGGATGGAAAAACAAGGTTAAAAGTCCTCTGAAATACTCAGGATTAAAGAGTTTCCATGGAAAACTATTTGTAGGGGTGAATTTCTAGCCTCAGCCTATTGCTTCTGTCTGAACCTGTTTCATGTTGGTCCACCCAAGAGCCTTTGTGGGAAGTCAAAGGTGTGGGGACCAATATGGCCAAAACTGGGGAGAAAGGGAAAAACCCTACAGCTCTGAACAGCCAAACCAGTTAGTCCAAAGTGCCCTGAAACCATGGGGAAGGTGTGTGAATGTGGCGGTGGCAGTGAGCCACTGGCATGGACATCATATGGAAATGAACCCCAGAGTGACCACAGTGCCTTTAAAAATCCCACAGCTCACCCTTGAACTTTTGGGATATGGATCAGCTGCAAGTGCATTAGCAAAAATGATGGAAAGTCATGGCATGCAAGTGAGGAAAGCCAATTGTTTTCTGCCAGCTTGGCTTCAGAAGGGTCTGAGGGGGATGTTTAAAAGCTTTGCTCTGGGGATGCACAGCCAGGCTGGCACTGAGCAACAGCACTGTCCCTCCCACCCACCCCTGCTCATTGCTCTAGTACCGTTTCCGTTCTGAATTTGGTCAAATATTGGGATGGATGGTCTGTCTACAAACTCCTCTGTGTAGTTCACAAGCGCCTCCCGCACAACTTCGTACCCGGTCAGGACCACAACTTTCTGGAACCCAAAGTGGAGGGTGAAGATGGGGCCATATTTTTCCGCAAGCTGAAAGAGAGGTGAGCTGTGATGGTCAGGAAGGGATGGAGTGCTCATGGAGCAAGCACCTGTTGCTTTCTGAAAGGACATACTGTGACCTGACATCCTGCTGGGAACAGCTGCAGAGCCACTACCAGCAGAACAGCACCGGTGAGCTGGAGCTCATCGTGGTCAAACATGAGGCATTTTGTATCAATGCCTGGCTGGCATCCGTATGGAATTCAGGCTTCTTGCCATGAGAGAACCCCCCACCCCCCTCAGTGCATTGCTAATCTGGTTTTGCTGTTGAGGAAAAAATAAACGAAGAACAAAAAAACCCACACCTAGTGTTAAAGACTGGACCTCAAATGGCAACACAAGTTGGCAAACCGGAGGAAGATGAAAAGAAAGATAGTTCAGTGCAAATAATGATGAGGTTACACAGGAAAGGTTTGGTATGATGCTCCTCTCATACCAAAGCACTCCTGCATGACTTCTGCTAGACCAGAGGAGCTGTGTATCTCCTCAGCACTGCAGTGGGGACTGACTCCTGCCTACTTCTGCCCCATCACTGCAGCTATATCTTGGTTTCCAGCAGCTCGAAAACAGTGCTTGGGGACAACCAAGAAGAGTTTGGGCTGGGCTGAAGCAAGGTGATGGGATGCTAGCTAAGCACACAGTGTATGTGTGCAGCTTCAGCCCACATCAGGCCACCAGCAGCTTTCACAGGGGAGAGGAAGCACCCACCAGGTGCCCGGCCAACGAACACTGGTTGGTGCCTGCTGCTCAGTGCAATCACCATGTCATGCTCTGCATGGGGTGAGATGGAGGGATAATCCCTCTGGAGTAATCCCAAGGCAAAGGCAAACACAAGCAATACCAAATAGAGCCCAGCACAGGGTGAAAGCAAGCAGAGGTGATTCCAAACCACCGCTCAGAGGCTGTAGCAGCAGTGTCTGCCCAGCCCCGCTGAGTAAACTGACCCCAACCCTGACACTGCCCATAACAACCCCAGGTGCTGGAGCCTCACCCCGTGGCAGTGCTCCCCCACCATGGGCTGCCCCCACAGCAGAGTGTGTTTGCTGAGCGCTGGTGTTCCGGGAGCTGTGCTGACACCTCGCCGGGAGCCGCCGCTGTCTGTTTGCTCACTCTCTCCCTGACCCTGGCGTGGGTCGGACCCCGAGGGGGCTGTCTGCTGGAGCAGGGGGCACTGCTCAGCACCCCACAGAAACACCCTGGGCTGTGCCAGCCACGTCTTGCACAGAAGGACAGTTTACCATGGTAACTGGGGTAAGTTGTCTTAATTACAGGTTAGTAGAAGAGTTTATAGGCTATTCATTCTGGTTTCTTAGTGCAACTGTTCCATCCCTCTCTTGTGCTACCATCCAGATTTTAAAGCGTGTCCAATTCATCAAGAGGGAAACGGATTTTGCAATGTGGCATCTGGATTTGGCCCTCTCTGCAGCAGTTTTGGGGTCACTGCATAGTGAAATTCCTCTCGCCAAATCTCCAGGGCGTAGGGGAGGGAAGCAATTTCATTTCATGTTAGTTATGTCCTAGTGCTTTAAAAGATTTCTGTGTGTCCAGGCTGTCAAATTAATATTTCAAATCCCACAAGCATTATAGACTTCATGTACATCATCACAATTACATGAAGAAATCCCATATTACCCAGAGGTCTTTTTTTTAATGGTTGGTGGCTCCTAAATTACATTGCATCAACACAGACATTGAGTAGAAGAAGCCCAGAAAAATATTATAAAGCAATTTTCACACCTCTACAGTTCAGTTTGAATTATTTAAAAAAATAAAAAAAAAGACAAAAAATTCTCATTGAGTCATCCCAGGCAGCTTTAAAATCTATGAGGGTCTGGGTTCGGGGGTTTTTTGTCCTACCTTCATTAGTGATTTATCT